ATATATACTTTGTCATAATTTCCCACAGAAACTTGAAAATGAAAACAGAAAAATACACTATACCGTCACGTCAGTATAAATTCTGAAATAAATAAATTTATAAGGTTCAGTTACACTACAGAAAGACACTTCACTAAATAGATACCTACCAGTTTAATACAATAAATTTTTAATATACATTTGCATACTTGTCATATCATATCAGATGTAAAGTCAATTGACATATTTCATTAGTGTAATTAATAATCGCACATGCTGCTGTGACACTATTGGTCCGGACTTCATATTGTATCCCGTATTTATTTCGTTCGTATCATTCACGGTTTAATTTCATTAACTGTCTGAATAAGAAAAATGAGTAAAAACACAATTGTTTCGAATTTTTGAACTTTTTAATAGTATCTGTTTTAACTTTCCTAAATGTGTTCTCCTGTCCACTTTAGGTAGTGGTATAGTTCAGCTAAACTTCAGGAAATAAACACCCTAAAAAACCACAACTGATAATAAAAACTGAAATGATTAAAAATATATATTTCATATCAATCAGATTAATAAGTATTTGAACTTATTTTGTATTGTGTTTGTTTTTTAAAATAGAAATAATTATTGTAAAACAAATTAATTTTATTTACAATTAGTACCTAACGTATACTACTCACGACAGGTTTTAGTATGGGGGGCGGGGGGGTTCAAGAAAATAAAACGACTAAAAGTACATAAAATAACCCTTATATTCATAAGAAAATTGAGAATTGGTGGAGTCCTTTTTTGAGCAGTGGGACAGTATAGACTAAATAAAAAAAAATAACGTTCTGTTATATATGTTATAGGTACGCATTACAGAATTAATCTTCTGTTTTTCTTTTTAAATATATCCACTACTTCATTCGTATCAATTTCTATCCCATAGTGAATGTTCATGAGAGCCATGCCTTTCAGTCTGTTTTCACTCGTTGTGTTCCGCAAGTAGTTTTTAAGTCTTCTTAGGCTTGAAAAAGTCCTTTCTGGGGCAGTAGTGGAAACAGGTATGGTAGCCAATATTTGCAACAATGTGTAAATATTTGGATATAGTTTTTGGTCGCAGTTATCTAAGCATTCCAGATCTGATTTTGGAATAGGGGAGGTAAGAGTCATAGCTGCTTTCCGCACTTCAATTTCTGCTTTGTCGACAGGTGTACTTTTTTCGGGCAGCACTGCCGAATACATACAAAATGACTCTTCAATTTCACAACCGGCCGCTAAATTTGATAGTAACACACCAGATAGTGCCGATACTACTTTACGGTGTTTTGTAAACCTCTCAATCAATTGTTGAATTGTATAGTCGAGAAATGGAATGAATAAATTTATTTTGTAATACGTGGATATATCCGACGCAGGAATGTTAGAGCGATTCAACTGCCTTCCGACGATACGTGGCATAAGCAGTATACCACCATTTTCTTCGAGCAACACCTTTGCTTCTTCATAGAGATGGAGGTACTCTTCGTCAACTTTATGTCTCAAAAGTCGCAAAGCATTAATAACATCATCCACGTGGCTGAATGCTGTTATGAGGTCTGTGTTAATTGCCTGCAGTTGCTTTGATAGCGACAATGTATAGCTCATGACTTTTTGAAAAATCACTAGGCACATAACAAAATTCGAAGATCGAAGTGTGTTAAGCATTTGGACGGCTTATTGCGATGTTTCTTTATTGTGGCTAGATTGGAATTTTTGCTCGCTTATTTTATAAACTCTCATTAAGAAGGTCCTTTCCTCTCCTTTCTCTTTCCTATCCTTACCCTTTATCCTGTTAGGTGAATGTGGAACCCTTCACGTAAAAATATATCCGTAACTTCCATTGTTTCCCGCTTCACAGCATTATTTTCATTTGTAAAGACATATCACGTTTCAAGAGATCTAAATGTATGGGGTGAATAATACATGTTAATATCTTTAACTTTTTTGGGGGGGTTGAACCCCCAAACACCCCCCCCCCCTGGCTACGCCCGTGACTGGGATAACACTGCAAATGATATAATATATTGTATAGGGTCAGTCACATAATATTCTACCCCCTTTTCTTTTTTACCTTTCTGTCAATATATAAAAAAACATTGACTTGCATTTCGAAGATATACACCAAACTTTTGTTTTCTGTCATTTTTTTAGATTACTCTGCTTTTTCTAATTAAAACGATATATACAAAAATTTGGTTTATTTTCTGATCCTACAAAATTCCCATGAATCTAGAGACCGACCGATTAATCGGCTTAGGCATCGGCTTCGGCTACATTCGGCCATTATTTAAACCTTCGGCTAAGATTCGGCTTCGGCCAAAATTAAGCCGAACTTTTCGCCGAAGCCGAAGGTACCGTTCGGGACGCCGCTGGACTTAACAAATCTAATCAAATTAGGGTTAAATTAGCCCCTTAACACTACAAATAACACTGCCAAATTACAACCAAATTGGGTAAAGGGTGTTTAAGATATTTACGAAATAGCACTTTTTTTACAAAAGACTAACACCCTGTATCTTGAAAACGAAGCATCTGCGGACCAATGTTTATATAAACTTTCTGTATTAAAATCACTCAAATAATCGTCTGTTGAATTTATTGTACCATACTTAATTAACACCCTATATATACATTTATTATATTTCCAAACCATTATGCATTTATTTTTGACCTACTTTTATGTTATCTTATCATATTTTTGTTATTAATTAAAATTTTCAAGTTAATAAAAATATCTTCGGCTTCGGCATCGGCTTCGGCCGAAGATGACCCATAAACCGAAGTTCGGCTTCGGCTTCGGCTTCAGCCAAAAAAATCACATTCGGTCGGTCTCTACATGAAACTACTGCGTGGATGTTTTTCGGTTTTAAATTTACTAAACAAATGCGGTAGGTGTTAAATAAATATCTATATCTAAATATACATTTGGTTTATATCTGCGGAACGCAACAGTCATTTGTTTTTTAAATATTTCCTTAACATCGTTACAAAATTTCTTACAGATTTCGTATTTACCATTTTTTTTTTCGAAATAGAAATGTAAAAAAGAAAAAGGGGGTAAAATATTATGCAAATAACCCTATACAGGTTCGGAAAGTACCGATGGTCCATCTGCCGTTACGTGAGAGCGATAAAGTAAGTCTTCCACAAATAAGAAGTGGATCTTATTTGTGGAAGGGCGAAATGGGCGGTGACTATTAGATGCCTTCATTATAGCCATCTTTCTCTATAGCACGGATTTCAATGTCTTATTTTATAGCTCTCACGTAACGGCAGATGGACCAACGGTACTTTCCGAACCTGCACATACATTCTTAGTATGTAAGTACCTACCTAATATTAAATAATACCTTGAGATATACAAGAATGTCTTTCATATCCAAATTAAGAAAAGAATTTATGTCAGGTAGGTACATATCAATAACTAAATGGGTATTTAATTGAAATGAAGCAAGTCTTTCAAATCATCATTTATGGCCATAACATTAAAAGTCAACATGAAAAATGAGGAGTCCTTTTTAAATATATTTACTACTAGTACTCGAGGTATGTTTGGTAAACGGCATGGATATTGTAAACAACACGTTATGCTGACAAGTTTTGATGTCTCAAAGCATATAAAAGTATGGTCCGTTTAGGATGGGACCAACAAATAACGTAAATATAACGAACAAACATTGTAACTGTAAATTAACAACGGTACAATTACTCTATATTGCGCAGAGACCGGATTTATATGCACAAAATAATAACGTAAACATTTTTGGACATGTTTTTTACACTTTTCTGTTTTATTCAATGTTCACTTTTGATTTTTTCGCTCAATGTAAACGTCGAAAAATAAAAAGATTACCTGCCTCCAAGGACATTTAATAAATGTCCTTGCCTGCCTCGAACACATGACTTACTTTCAGATAGTAAATATTTAAACTAACATTGTTTTTTGCGTTTTGAGTTTTTATATGTAGACATACAAGGTGTTTTCAAACGAAGTAGCACAAATGGTACTGGTGAATCTACAGCCAAAAAGAACACGTTTTGCATAAAAATAATATTAGTAAAATATTCATTCCTTAACATACAACCCCTCAAAGTTTTCAAAAAAAAAATATGGAGTAGCAGCTGTAATTTGAAAACCAAAAAAGGTGGAATAGTCAAATTCTACACAAATTTTATACTAATGCATGTGCAACTTCTCAACAATTTTTCGAAACTTTCTGCCCCTCGGAGGGAGCCGAAACAAACAGTTATTTTTTGCTTCACATTTTTGTTTGACAAAAATTGAATATTCACAAATATGTATGAATATGAATTAAAAGTTTATTAAAAAAAAATTAAATTCATTATCATTCGCATGACAGAAATTAGCACGACTATTAAATATTTCTTAATTGCAATCGTGCGAGATCAAAATTTTCTGAATAAAAATGTTTCTCAGTTTTCTTGACTGCATAACCTTTTCTTTTGCTCTTTTTAGATAACAACTGTTCAAACGGCCTCCTCCCCCCCAAATCCATTTCTGGATCCTCCCCTGCTTTAAAACCAAAATACTTACGGAAGTCGAGTTACAAAAAAGGTTTCCGGCTTTTTAATATACTCAAATTGTCTTACTGTCTTTTCTGGAGGGAGGAAAAGCTTTCTTCTACTTTAAAAAAACACTACTTTTGTTACTTATTTAGCAGCTTATATATTAAAAATTAATTTTTTGTTTATTTGCGATGCAAATTTTCCAATCAAAGTCAAAACATTTTAGTTACACCCTGTATAGCTTAAATTGCTTGCACTAATAATCTACAATTCTATCTGAACAATAACCGTGGTGAAAGTTAAAGCTTAAAAGTAAAAACCTTATAAAAGTAAGTAAGAGAATTTCATATCGTTCAAGCCGTGGCTCACAACCATAAAGAAGAGGGAGTAATGAGTGCATGTATATCCGGTTTCTAAGAAGTTTGTCTGGCTATTGAATGGTAGTCCACTTCACTTGATCAGTTGTTTTAAACTAACGTGTGACAGAACAGTCAAAAAAATGTGTGATTGTGAGTCTGTATTAACAATTTTTTAATTCATGAGGTGGCTTAAATGATATTTTATAAACTGTGTGATTTTCCGGGAGCCAAATAAGTTATTTGTGTATTACAAAGCAAATTTCTTTTAGTGTTTCCAGTAAAAAGTTAAAAACCATTGAAACGGGTAAGATTAAGATACCAACCGGTGAAATACTTATCATCGTCTTATGTATATATACATTATATTTCATGAGTATTTATTTAGTATATCATACATTATCAACAGCTTCTTAAAAACTATTAAACATACTGGGTGTAACTAAAATGCTTGTCCACGTTTCTACATTTTTATCTCATTGTTCACAAACATTGCTTATTTAAAGGTTATTGGTGAAAAGCGTGTATTTTTAGTTATTTTATTACTACTGTGTCTAAAGTAATATTTGATAGGTACCTATTTTAAATGAAAAGCTTTTTTTGAATTATTTTAATGCTGTCAATTAAAAAAATAATAAGTTAAATGTAGCTTTGCGTCTTCATTCAAAAAAGTTATTAATATAACAAAAACCATGTATCAAATAATACACAATATTTTTTATCTAAATGTACCTACTCAGATATTAAAATCGATAGTAATCGATAGTTAGATTGACTGGTTGAGTAAAATGAGTTACCACTGTCAACAGAGAAAGAAGTATGTGTAGGGGAGGGTAGAAAAACGACTATTACTTAAGCAAAGTTGCCTATATTTTACATACGAGACCAATTATTTATTATATTTTAACTACTTCATTTTATTATAGCAAACAATTTAAAAGAAAATAAATTACAAAGAAGAAATCCAGCAAGATATAACATTATGAGACTGATTCTCCCACTCTGCGGGTTATTCCGAGCTGTACTTTTTTTTAGTCGTGAAAGTTATAAAAGTACGATTTATTTTAGTTAGTGGGTAACCTCAAAAAATAATTTATATGCATACTAGAAAGACCCGGCAAACGTTGTTTTGCCATATAAATTATTCCCAGGATTATTTTAGTAGATTTTTCATAAAGGAATTTCACTTCTACCATCTATATTATATTTAGTGTTATTCAGTGTATATCGTGTATATATTTTTTTATGAATGGTAATAGTAAATGTCATTATTATGGTTGATGCACAAACAATAATAATAATGGCCGAAAACTGTAGGGAGTGAGAAACGGCTCATTGTGTGAGAGAGATCTCATCCCTACTCCGTGCTGTTTACTGGGTCAGAAGTGACACCGGTCGACGCCTGGCGGGGATAAAAAAAATGATCAAGTGATAATTGATCAGTTATCGACCGGGGTTGAAAATTATTGAATTACTAATATCGCTATTAAAAAATAAGGGTTGATGGTAGAAGGGTGAAAATTTAGGATTGTATGTATTTTTTAAGGCCACATCATAAAAAAATAAAAAAATAAAATTTTGTCCAAAAAACAACAAAAAAAAATTTGGGGTGGACCACCCTTAACATTTAGGGGTATGAAAAATAGATGTTGG